CTGAGGATCTGACTGTACTCCTGCATTATGTGCAAGATGGTTTCCAAGGAATTCTTCACAATTGACTGACATCATTTGGGGCTGGAAAGGAATTTCTGATTTAGAATAGTGTTATGAGATGGAAGGAGTAGCAAGGTACCTTAGAGATAGTCTGCTCAGATGGAGTAACAGTAGGTGCAGAAACAGGGAAAGGATCTGCTTACCTTAGGAAGGCTTTTATGGTTCTTCTGTAGGCAGAGGTCTCCAGAAGATACACTTACACCTCCACTGCCAGCTGTTACATGAGATCAGGGAAGGGGTGGATCATGGCTGCAGCCCTTCTGGTTGCTCAGTGCATTGCATGCATCTGAATTCTGGGTTGGTCCTGCCTTCTCCTGGTGCTCAAACACCTGTTTAAGTTGTGACTCTGCATTTCCAGTACAAACAATTACTGGATTTAATTTTGGGAAGTAAGGTGAAATACTATTTCTTTCAGTTCAGGTATTAGAGGAACAGTCCTGTGTCAGGGAAGATCTGTACCCACGTGGTCATGTCTTCAGGATTGAAGGCTGTTGACTGGTCACTGTCTGCTGGGAGAGCTAGGGGAAGGGAATAGGTAAGAGAAGTGTTCTGGGAGAAAATAATTCATAGTGCTCTGGTACAAAAGCATTGTCTAGAAAGGGCATTTTTTGGTGTGGAGTGTGCTTTGCTGTCCAACTAACACAGAGGAACTGAAGTGCAATTTGAACAAGTACCTGGTAAATCTTGTATTAGATTCTGTATACGGATCTATGAATCTGCTATTAAAATACAGTGAATATCTGGAATATTTTCTAGTTAGGAAAATACTTGAATAGTTGTTTATAATGCTTAGAGCAAACTGGATTTACTTGTGAATCAAAATCATTGTATAACTTTCAAACCTTAGTTTTAGCACTACATCATTACTATGCATCAGATATTGATACAAAGCCTGAAAGCAAGTGCAAACACTAAAGTGTCTGGGTCTTTCATAATTACTTTGTATTATGTTAACCATTACAATGGTTAATTATATTCTTCAGGTATATTTGGATGTGTTTAACTTCCTTAATTTTGCATTGCTTAGCTTTTTAAAAACAATTTGTTTAAAGCACTAGCTCTAACATTCCTTTACACACGATCTCGTTCTACCATGACTTAATTTTACTCCTAGTTTAGTACCGCTTCATGTGGAGAAAAATTGGATTTAAACTTTGAAAATGCTGCTGCCTGTCAATTGCTCTAATCTCACTCACTTCTAATTTGATGCTTTCTGAACATGATGTGATCAGAACGTTCCCATTTGGAGCTGGTGGTTTCATGCCCCACTAAATCCATTTCAGTATTCATCTGTATGATTCCCCAATCTTTAAAACTGTTTATGCCATTTTTGAATGCTTCCTCCTTTATTATCTTAATAATAAGGTCCTTGGGAAATGTTGAATACTCATAGGCAATATTTTCACTGCTAGCTTAACTTGTTTAGTACTGGAATAAACCAATATCTGTTACTACATTTCGTCTTTAAAAAGGACAGATGGCACAGAGGAAGATTTTCACAAAGAAGATTATCTTCTAGACATACCTTATGACTATCACTGGAGGCGTAGGATGAGTTGGAGCACAAATTGAGAGTGGAGTTAAAACTCCCGTGCTTTTAATGAAACTTTATCTATTGCTACTTGTCTATGTTCTTTCCTGTGTCTCTTCCCATCTGAATTTTTTGTTGTCTTTTGTCCATTCAAAAGAGAAGGTAACACTCCTTTTGTCTGGTAATTTTTTTACCTTCTGTTTTTTTCTTGATTTCCAAAATCTACCTCAAATTTTCATCTGTTGCTTTTCCACTCACTCTCTTTATAAATAAATAAGGGGAATGAAGGAACTCGCAGTACATGCCATGTCAGCTTAGACTGCAAGTCTTTTCAGGGTAGGGTCATCTTAGGTATGGTACTTGCAGTAGCTTGTATGAACTTAAGATCATTGCCATCATAAATATAACTAATAAAGTTGAGACCAGGTAGGGGCTGCCAAGAATCAGTAATTTCAACATGCCTTTCATCCTTCTCATTTGCCTGAGCCAGACTGTAATAGATTTATGTGATCTCTTTTCAAGCTTAAAGAAGGTGGATTTAAGTTAGATATAAACAATTCTTATACAGTGAGAGTGATGAGGCACTGGAGGAGGTTACCCAGAGATGTGGTTGGTGCCCTGTCCCTGGAGGCTTACAGGGCCAGGCTGGATAAGGCCCTGGGCAACTTAATCTAGCTGTGGTGTCCATGTTTATTGTGGGGCAGCTGGACTAGATGGCCTTTTTAAAGGTCCCTTCCAACTCTAAGGATTCTGCAACTCTATGACTTTGTATAGTCAAATAGGAATGTATGTAAAAAAAAGTGGTTCCACAAATTAATCAGAGGTAGCACTTGGAGCGTACAAGAGCTGCATTGCAGATTTTCTTTGGTCTAGAGATGCATTACCAGAAGTTGTAGACTATTTGGAGGGGCAAATCAGGTACCACAACCCTTGAGGGAGCTCGCATTTGTTTTCCAGCTCTGAGGGAATAGAAGATGGTCCTGGGGGCTGAGCAGCGCGCTTGGAGAAGAAACTGGGTTTTTCAGTTCGTTGGGCCAGGTTGTGTTGAACTGCCTTTAAAATGCTCTTGTTCCTGCTGTTATTTATAAATATAGATGTTAAAATATCTTCTATTGAAACTACAAGTAGTATTTAGTAAGAATATAGGAGAATCTTGAGAATCTTAAAGAATCTTGGGTCAAGTTTGAAGAGAAAATGAGCTTATTGAACCTTAACTCTAGGAATTACAGGAAATAGATCATTAAACTATGAATAGGAATGAGCAGTGCAAAAATGAAAACCATAAAAATCCGCAGTTGGGAAAACTAGAAGATTAATAGTCATCTGGCTGTGGTGCTGAGTATTTCCATCTATCAGTGTCAGAAAATACTGCAGCTCCTTGGCATCTCCAATAGAGGCTGAAGAAAAGGGATATGACTTCAGTGGAAGATAATAAATTTAATAAAAAAACAACAACAACAAAAAAACCCACCACAAAATAAAACTAATTGGCTGTCATATTTGCTTCTGCATGGGAAGTACTTGCCATATTAATCTATGGAGATATTAAACATGTGGGTTGTTGATTATTAATATAAAGGAAAAATGTTCCTTTGTTTAGCTTGATGGCATGCAATGATATCACTTGATGATATGAAATGCAGGTGATCTGTCTACCCTCAAGTAGTAAAAGCAAATTCAGAATGAAATTAGAAACATAAAAGAAAATCAGTAACATTTTAACTAATTTGGTCAAAGAAATAATGAAACCCAGCAAGTAGTGTAGTCTGAGTGGTATTTTTTCTCATCTCTGTAAAATGTTGCATTTTTTTTTTTTTTTTTTTAAAACACCCTCAAAGTCATGTTTTGGGCCATTACTATGTTAGATAATAAAACTGAAAGGCACTAAAAATGAAATAATTTATATAATGACAGCATAAAAAGCTGTTAAGATGTAAAAGTCATAAATGAATAGTATTCATTTCTTTATTCCTTAATTCTTTTTTTTTTTTTTTTTTTAAAGAAAAAAGCTATTAAACAATGCATAATTCTGTGTTTAACGAAGATATTAATTTCCCTCTCTTGCCTCAAGACTGATTGCTTCCACTTCTGGGAGCAGTGCGAAAAAGATAGCACTAATTCTATAATGTAAGTGATAAATGAGTTAATGAGAAGCTAAATGAATGCAAGTTTCAATTCACGTAGTTGCTGTGGCTTATTGTGTTGAAAAGATGAAGCTATCCTTGCAGTTCTGGTACCTGTACTTTCTGAATGATTTTTAAAAAATTCTGTCTATTGACTGGGGGGAAAGACATTAAAAATACATAAAAGCAACAAACAAAACAAAAGCAAAGAAGAAAAACAACAAACAGAACTTAATGTTCAGTCCTAAGAAGGACTGCAAATCATTAATAAGCTGCAAGGGAAGATGCTGTTACTTGACAATAATGGTTCAGAAAAAGGGAAAATGGAAGATATTTGCCAACAGGTTAAGGTTTGTTATAGATTGCACAGTAAAAGCTCTTCTGTTTTGGCAAGTCACTGCTGCTGTCGAAGTAGAAAACAGTATTTCATATAGTTCATGTGTAAGGAAAATTTTGTACTTAATGTGTTACATATTGTTGATGATGTTTATTTTGGTTTGGGTAACAGATACAGTAGTCTTATTTTATCCCTACTTTTACATTGCTATAGTTTTCCACTCTTGAAGTTTGAAATATTTGGCAGAGAAAAATACTTGCTTTGGCTTTGTCTTTTGGCATCTCTTAATGAAATATCTGTCCCATTGATTTTATGTATTTTTATAGGTGATAGCAAAGGCAGCTTTAACAGTATGACAACCAGCAGGTTAGGTTATTGGGCAGGAAGAGTTGTCATTACTCGGCGTATAACACTGAGAGTAGTGGTATCAATGAAAGGAAAATTCACCTGGCTACTTTGAGTCACAGGTGATGCCAAGCAGATTATCTTCTAAAACTTAAAATCTGAAAACTCAGCACTTGTTCTCATTCTCTTCAACCCCATTCCTAAAAGGAAAGCTTTGGAGGATACTCTGCTTTTAAATTGGATCAAAACACTTGTAACATTTCTCTAGTCTCTACAGATTAATTAAAAATACTGAAAAAAAAAAAAAGTTTTTTAAATTCATGTAAAAAAGCTTGTGATTGAAAATGTATTATGGCTGTAAATTACGAAAACCTAATTGATAAAATTAAACTAGAGTCGAAGATGACCAAGAGAATAATTTCAGACTTAAAGTCAACATCGCGTATGTTGGCAACATGTGTTGATTGTTACTGCTGCTGCTAGTATGGCACAAGATTCATGTCCTGAAATGTCATAGATGAAACGTGATGTGAATGTCTGTTCTATATTGACCCTACCCTGAAAATGAATTGTTTTTTAATGATCATTTCTGTGTTTGTTTTAGGAGTATAATTTGGAAGATGTGAAATGGCAGCTACTGAGCAATTTCTTTATGGCTAGACTGGATAACTGCTTTAATTAGAGCCTGCCTGATGTTGATGTACTTGAGGAAATGGTTTACCTGTGTAACTGAGAACATGACCGAAGGAAGCGTTTCCTGCTGCTGAAGTCTTTCAAATCAGGTAAGTGTTAAGCCTATCTAATAAATTCCACTGTTAGAATGGAGTACCACTTTCAGTCACGTGAGTTCAAGCTTCTGGCTTGCCTGGGCTGCATTCAGGGAAGAGAATTGTTCAGGGCCATTATCCTGAAAGGTTACTTCAAAAGTAATGCCTCACTATTTTCATGGAACACATACGAAGAGCACAATAACACTATTTAACAGACTAAGTTATGAGCTACAAAACTCTTTTGCAATAGTCTTCACCATTAGCTATGTTTTTCAGTAGCCATGAGCAAGAACCTGCGTGCTGCACTTTTGTATTAACCTACACTAGAGCAGATGACCCATGGTCACCGCTGCTGAAATGCACCACTCACCCCTCACTTTGATCGTATCCATTGTTTGGTCTCTATAAATGATCAGTGAAGGTCAGTGGGTGCCATTTTTACTGCATGGAGGAATTCAATGACGTACCTTTTCTTCATACGCACTTCCATGTCAGAAGCCATTTTGTCTGACTTCCTCTCTGCTGCCATCTTTTGCATGGAAACTAAATCTAATGGGGGAATTGGTGGGAAGATTCAACATCTATTGCCATACCACTAACATCCACCTCTGATGCTGTGCTCCAATAAAATAAAATAGCATGCATTACTTTTGGAGTAGCCCTCATAAAATATATACTATAGCTAATCTATGTAAGTGACAATATGATACTTTTTGTACTTTTTTTTTTTTAAGCATACAAAACAGGGCAACAAAACCATTAAACTAGAGGGATATGTGACCTTGTTTTGCAAAAAGTAACATACACAGCTTGTTTGATGGCAGTGGTTTCAATTCACAGTGAGTTCTCAAGGTGCTTGTCGAACTTTGGATTAAGTTCTACTCTTCCTGTGTTTTATCCTTGAAAAAGCTGTGTAGAAATGTGTGTACTGGGAAAAAGCAGTGGAATTGTGTGGAATTGGAAAGTGAGGGATCTTTCTTTCTGGTGAGACAGGGCTTATAAAAACCTGTTGAAGAGACATGATCATGATTTGGATTGCCATTTCATGCATTTGAAAACTTTCAATTGATGCATTTATGTTGATTGAAAAGAAGCCGCAAATGACCCAAAAAAATGTTGTGGGTTTTTTTCAGTATTGAAATCTATTCTCAAATTACTTTATCACAATGGAAAGCACAGCTGCATCTTTTCCTCTGTTCACAGGGCTGTGTTCAGCCTTAATATCAAAACCCACAAACTTGCTATCATGTGAGTTCGTGCTGGGTTGAACCCTCCCCATGCCCTGTGTTCAATCTAGATGTTCATCATGCACAGATGTTTGGTGCCCAGTGGCAGTTGCACATCTGGGGCAGAGCAGTAGAGCCATGATAGCATGGCAGCAGGCCATTTGGGCCTTACTGGGAGCTGTGCCAGGCTCCAGGCTTGCCTGGTTTAACTGGCATCTTTTAGTCTCAGATGTTGAGGAACTCCTAACTGTTACATTTTGCTGAGGCTTATTTAAATTACTACATTAATTGAAGATTGACTTGAAACTTGGGAAAGGAAGTGTTTTGAGTCCATGTCGACTGGTGACTTGAGAAAATGTTGGTGTTACAAGTAAAGGTGATAATGACAGAAAATGAATAAAACACAAGAATAGAAAATAAATTGCAATAAGGCCTCTTGCAGTGAAGACTTAAAGCTGAGTGATGGCTTCTGTTAAAAGGCTTTTTTTAACTACAGATTAAGGTACGATTGTGAGAACTAGGAATTTCAAGGCAATTGTATGTAATGCAGCCAGGAGTGTTGTGAATGCAGTAGTTTGTGAGAACTGATGTGATGTTCACATCATGAGTTTTGGTATTGGTACAGTGCTTTAAGTTAATACAAAATCTAGCTGTTACATAAAGAAAAAAGGTGATTGTACTGATGGCATAGTTTCCTCAGGAGGATCTTGTATACAAGATGTACTGAAGCCTTGCACGATAGATTTCAAAGTATTTTAAAAGTGATTCAAATAAAACTTTGAATGGAAAGAACTGGAAATGACCCAAAACAAAAGAAGTCCTAGTATGTTATATAGAGAGAGATGACTTGTAACAGTCATAGCTATAGAGGAAGAAAAATGAGTTTATTCCATTCCTGAAGCTTGTAAAAGGCTTATTTTATGCATACAGGAAAGCTGCTCATAGGAAGACATAGGAGGTACATGAAGCTTGAAAACAGATTCAGGCTTTGTTGAGGTTTGTTTTTTTCATCACTTTGAGCTGGCAACATCATGCAGTGTTAAACCCACCTCTGTAAAGAATATCGAGTGACATTTTTTTTAGATGTGGCTGTCACTAAAAGTTTTTTAACAAAGTAAAAGAAAATAAGTGGGTAATTTAACATTGATTTATATATTCATTCAATCATCTTTGCTTTTTTATTTTAATAGTAGGTTATAAAACTTTTATAAATGTGACAAATGACAGTAATGTTTGGTGCAGCTAGATGGTTGAACTCTTAGGTGCAGGAATTTCACCAAATATTCACTTTAATCAGCATAGACTTATAGACATACACAGAGGGGAATGTGGGAAATGAACAGTGATGGATGGCACGTAACTTATAATTTAATTGTACTGTGGACTCAAATCTGCTATTGAAATAGTTAAAATTACTGATGGAATTGGCTTTGGTTGCCCTAATGTATTAAAGCTTTTTTTGGTCATAACATTTCTGATGTCATCCTGTGCAGTATGTTGTATGTGTGTGGTAAAATGGATGAACGGCTTATTTCCCTTGAACAGTCACAGTTTGGTTTGAAAGATGTGTAATTACTGTCTTTACAAACAGTTATAACTTAACCTCAATGATGTTCAACTTTTCAGTTTAGAAAAGTATTACAAACATTGCATGTGGGATATTTGGAAGGTTTCATTTAGCCAAAGTGCAAAATGGTGGCAGAAATCATTTTTAAAATTTGACTACTTCATCTTGAATGTTCAATTTCAGTAACATTGTAGTTCAGTTTCAGGGAGGAAAAAATCCATCGAATTCAGTGTTTTTGGGATAGCTTATGACTAATGTAGTCAACCTTGACTAAACTTAAATTACTTAAGATTACATACTCCATACTCAATATATTTTACATGAAGGTGCATTTTGAATGCAAGTTGAATTGACAGAAGCTGAGGTTGTCCACAGAAAATAAATGCAGTCAATCCTTGCAAAATGCATTTAAATTTCAATAATTTAGACTTAACTATCTGCAGTTTTACAACTCAACTTCCTTCCTCTGAAAGGATTGAAATGTTTTATTGGTAGGCTTGACAATTTCATCTGATGTGTTTAAAATGCAATTCTGTGTTCAATACAGTGAGTGTACCTCAGCATACTAATGTTTTCCGGTATTGAGAATAAAATGACTGCTAATCTCCTTCTGTCCTTCTTGAGCTGCGTGCTGCTGTGTGTATTTATCATAGTGTTTTACTTCTCTATAATTCTTTTGTAGGCTGAATCTATTTGCTCTGTGGGCATATGTTCTCTACTGATAACTTGAAGGAAGAATGGGACCCAGTCCTGCTTTAACACTTGTTCCCCTTTAAAAGATTTGCTAACCACTCAGGTCTGCCAGATGAAATGTTTTGTGTAACTATGTAAAAGAAAATAGTTCAAATCCAGTAAACAGTAGGTCTTTGGAGGTTCATTCTGACTGAAATAACTGAATGAACATATTTAGGATGCGATTACTGGTGTCTAGCCCGGAGAGGATGAAGCTTGGACATCCGTAGTATGGCTGGAGGAGTTTTAGTCTCAATTTTAGAAAACTTCAGAGCAAGCACAAGCTGGCAGCATCCATTTGGAATCTTGCAGTGAATTGGTTGTGCAGAAAAAAAAAACTTAGGAAAAAGTATGACTAGTTCTTAAGCACTCTCCTCTGCCATCACTGTGAAGAACTCCACAAATAATATCATAATCTCACATTTAAGAAAAACAAAAGCAACTTCCAAGTCATCATGAGTCCAAACATATACTAAATGTTAATATTGTGATGAAAAGGGACCTGTGATTTTCTTGTGAAAAATTATTGGTAGGCAAATAGGGTATGCTGAAAGAATGACACTTGTCATGTACTCTGACTGGAACAGCTCATAACAAAGTTCTCGCAGAAACTATATATATATTTTTATATATTTATATATATATATATATATATATATATATATAAATATATAAAAATATATATATATATAAATTATATATATATATATATAAACCTATTACAAAGAATGTGCTCATAAATATGTATGGAAGGATAGATCCTTTGTATATGTATTTTGATATAGGTCTTATTTCTGATGTTCTATATTGATGAAGGTAGGCTAAGGGAATGCAGGAGTGTAATACAAATGATGGGTAATGACTTTGTGTGGGTTGCAAAGATTAAATGCCAAAGAAATAGTAAAAGGCAAAGAATTGCTCAAAAGATTCTTTGGGTAAATACTGATGATTTCATAATTATAATTGCTTTGAAAAGTGTCTGAGATTGGAGAAATAAGAAGTTTGAGATTCTGCTGGGAATCTTGTGTATGCCTTAGGAATTTGTATTGAATATATTCTTTACATTTACCTTGTTCTGTGATTCTCTTAAATTCTTGTTTCCACAAATAGGGTACAATTTGATAAAAGGAGATTTATTTTATCCTAAACTGGAATTTTGATAGGGAAAAAATAGTAGTAGACTTCATAGCTTCCATGCAAGGATATCAGCTGAGTTGGTCTGCTAGTAACCTGCTTAGATATGATGACAGAGTAGACGTGCTTTTTTTGATAGATTTGGATTTATCTAACATGCAGTGTTGTAGTTAAGAAAGAAGGTGTGCCTCTCTTCCCAAAATACTGTTCACAGAGTATTTAGTCAACTTTATTGGCAGCTGTGCTGTGTGATGTTAGAACTGATTTGTGACAGTGTAGCGATTACTCCATTTAATCATGCTGTTAAACAGATTCAGTCAAATTAACCTTGTTAGAAGCCATATCAGAACCAC